TTTCTTTCTTTCTTTCTTTCTTTCTTTCCTCTTTGTAAGGGACGAATACCAGTTTGTTTGGACCTTTTTTCCCACGATTTTATAATGATATTTCACTTGGCGAATGTAAGTAAGTTTTCGATTATTGCAAAATTTTAATTTTTACCAGGTAACTTAGGATATAACATATTTCTGTAACGCGCAGTCGCCAATTGTTAAATTTGGCGAAATAAAGCATTTGTATGATGGTATTACGTCACATACCGTCGCCAACAGATAACATTTTCAAATTTTAACTTTTTTTAATACATATATTGAAATAGTTTAAAATTGCACTCATTAAATATCCTTTTTATGTTACAGTGTAATCAAAGTGTCAAGTGTCAAGTGCCAAATTTGCATTATATAGAATGTAAACCTTAAAATATGACTTAGAAACATGCATGTCGCAAGCCATCTAAGGATCCTTCATTTCTATATCTATGTGCTAACCAAGATGAATAGTTTTGATTTAGCTTACGACGAAATGTTCTGCTAGTGCAAAGGTTACAATACGCTATTACTAGCTTTTTTGGGTCAGATTTTGTATTACATCTTGTTTTCCAGATGGCCTTGTGCAGAGTACAACATCTGACGCAAAGCGTACAGCAGTAAGATGTCTATGTCGTCTTCCAAATCCACTTGTTTTTTGTAGTTCATGATTGGAAAGATCTGGTTCTCAGGAAGACCGTGTAGCAATCTGCCTATTTTATGGACCAAATCTCTGATGGCAATACTTCGATAGACTTTGCTCACGTCTTTGCTGACTTCGACACAAGCCTCGTCAATGTGAGTGATCAGAATGTACGTGGGAATATCTGGAAAGAAAACTCCCGTTATTAACTAAGAACATTGCTGAAAAACTATAACGATATAGTTTAGCGACAAAAGTTTTAAATGTCCTATGGTAACTGTTGTTGTTATCTGTTTATCTCATTATCGTCAATGAGGAGGGTGTTACTCAAGAAATAAAGAAGCTAAACTTGAGGTTGAAGTAAGTGGAAAACTCAACTAATATGTAACAAATTAGATAAAAAAGTTACCCCCGCCCATAAATCAATATTCCAAATATAATTCAACATGAAGTGAATAGTTGGATGGTAAAATATTTTTCATAAGATTTGAGGAATGCATATTGTATATTATACACTTAATGTCGTGTCGCTAGGGAAATAGTTTTTGTTTTCCCGCGAGTCTTGATGTTTCACGAGGCAATTAATTTTGCTACATAACTACGAAATTTTCCGATATAACGAACACTCTTATTGGTTGAAAGATGACCTCGTGACACTAGCTAAATCAAAATGTATCCCAACCGGGAAATAAGCTGCACCTGACAAGAATGGTGAAAATAAAGAGGTGCACGTGATCAGAACGTGAAAAACGCTGGTGGCGTGATATTTTGCACCTATCACAAACAACAACGCGGGAGCAGATGTTTTGCCCGAATTTTCAGTACAAATGAAGCTCTATGCAAAACAACAGATATTCTCCAGTGTTTTTAAGGGAGAAAAAACAAATTGCAAAATAGAAAAAAGCCGCTAAAAATGCTGTTGCGTTTCCCCTTTCTTTATAGTAACGAAATACAGAACCGTATGTGAGTTGCATTTGTAAAATCACTTGCCAGTTTTCATGAATTTAGCTTGCTAAAAAAAGTTCTTATTTCGTAAACTGACTTCTCAATGTTTCTCAATTGCTATATATCAAAACACTTCAAGTAATGCCTGGTCCCTCGAGAAATTAGTTAGCTTTGCTTTCCCTCTAGTCTCGGGAAAACATAAGTAAGCATAAGCTTACTCTGAATATTAAAAAATCAAAATTAATGATCCTTGGCAGCCGGGTTAAGGGTGAAGCATTTTCAGGATATGCAGCTGGTGGTGGATCAAGATAGTCTCGAGAACGTTACAGAGTTTAAATATCTTGGTATAATCATTAACCAACATCTCACATGGCATGATCACGTTGAGATGCTACACTCCAAGGTTGCACAGCGCCTTGGGGGTATAAAAAACGTATTAGACACTTGTTTCCTATCTATGCTAGGAAGCTTTATGTCATGACGATGATAGTTCCCCTGCTGGACTATGCATCAATTGTCTTGGGTGATAGGAATAATAAGACCTTAATGAACTCGCTCCAGGTACTCCACAATAAAGCAGCTAAATTAATACTCAACAGACCACCTTGGTCTTCTTCTTCTGAGGCCCTTAAAGAACTAAAGTGGCGGGACTTATCTCAGGGAAGAAAATTTCAACGCTGTATATACATGTACAACCAAGTATCTGAAGATGCGTTAAACTTCCCCAACTCGGCTACGCCTCGTGTTTTATACCCGATAAAACACTCCTGCTCGTTTATTAAACAGTACATATATATAATATTTAAATAAATTATATTTTTACTTTTTATTTATCTATTATTTATTTATCTATTTATTTACTTTTATTTATTTATTTATTTATTATTTATTTTTTTCTTAATGCAGTTCCCTATTGTAAATCACTAATCTGACATAGGCTTATTGTCAARAGAAATAAATATTATTATTATTATTTCCCTCTCGACCACACATAAGTGTACAATGCCTCCTATTACACCACACTTACAACACACTGGAAAATCATATGACAATCATATTAAAATATTTTATCATTCGGTTTTTCACTTGATATAGAATCGATAATGCACAGTATTGAGTTAGGGGTGTTGGGCACTGAATTTTACTCGAATATTGAATACGAATATTGTAGAGGGTGGTCAGGGGGTGGTGGGGAGGTTGGGGAGATCCAAGGAGAAGGAAAGAAAAAGTATTAAGGCAAGTGGTCATTATTTCTTACTTACTTCTTGTAATAAGGCCTTTCCTTAGGTTTTTGAGTTTTCTTTTCATGTTTTCTTCCATTTGATCAAACGTACTTCCATCAATCACAACAGCAACACAGTGTGCTCTGTCTTTAAGTTCAGGTTTTTTTAATCCAAGGTCGTCTTGAAGAACCTCCTGGCTGGGAAACTTGAAAGAGTAGCAAAAAGTATTATGAAGAAATCATTATGATGGGTGAGTTGAAGAGATTGTAGGAATTGTATTTTTTAGGAGGCAAACAACGTTATCCCAATAATAGAATACAAGGTATGCCAATGTATTTGCACTTTTTAAGTTTTGTTTTTGTGTTTTTTGTTCTTTCCATGTCTTCCTTCTAGCTGTCTAATCTATTACTAGAATTTTTTAGTCTATTTATTTTCTATTTTCTCTATTTCCTATTAGTGGATTTATTTCTTATTATTGAGAAGCAGTTTCCTGGTAAAACTTAAGAGATATGATTATTTTTTTAGTTGTAGGATCAACTATTTATAAACCTCAAATCCCCACATTTGATATTATTTACCGACCTACCTTGAAACGATCGGGTACATGTCCATCAACTGTTTTTAGAATGTTTGTCACATCGCAATCAGTATCAAGGCTGTAATTCAAGCCTGGTGTGTCACAGATCCTCCAAGGCAGAGGATTGGAGTCAGGCTGGTCGGGATGTGGGTTTATTTCGTACACTCGAAACTAATAGATCATAATATATAAGTTTGTAAACAGTTAATACTTAAATAGTTATGGCGTTTGCCAATCATTCATTATTCAGGAGAATATTTCAAAAAATGTTTAAATCCATCCATCCATTCGTCTTTTCTTTGGGTTGGGTTGGGTTGGGTTGGGTTGGGTTGGGTTTGTTGACTTACGTCTTTGGTTAAACTTGTAGCTGTAATCCCAACTTCTGATTTGCCACTAATAATTCGTTCATGGTAGATGCTGTTCACGCTGTTGAAGAAACTTGACTTTCCCCCACCAATCTGACCCGTCAGAGCAATGTTGAAAAATGGTACATCTAATTGGCCTCTTGTTTGCGGAGCCAAGCTAGAAATGTGATCTCTAAGCTCACGTTTTACCCTTCAAGAAGAAAGTAAGTAATACTGTGTTCTTGGCTAATCAGATATTTTGTAAAAGCAAATGCAAAGATTGTGTCCCCTCTTGAAGTTAGATAGAATAAGTTGATTTTTGAAAAACATTTCCCAGTATTGCGACCGGGGCCCAATTGAACTCAGTGTCCTTAGGGTCAACAAGGGATTACAATGAAGAAGGGTCTCATTTAATCATAATGATTGAACAGTTTAAACAGTAAGATAAATATTCTTATATTTACTCTGGACTCCATTCTTTTGTTTTTCTCCATGGTGTGTCAGTTAGAACTTCTGTAACCAATTTTAATAGAACGTATGTAAACAATTTTGTAATAACGATTTTTAAATGCAGGGCAGGGCAGGGCAGGGCAGGGCAGGGCAGGGCAAGGCGTTTTATTGACTTACGTTGAGGTTGTTGTGGCTGGGGAGGTGAGTTCCATAACCAATTTCCCATTTTCTAAGTCGAAGAGAAAAAAAGTTACCAATTAGCTAATTAATATTAACAAGTATGAGTATGCTATAGTTAACAATTTTCAATTGTCAACGATTTCGAGCAGATTTGTGAACGTCGTTAGTCGTTTTTTGAGCTTTGCAAGTGAAAAAATGTTCTTCATATGGTAAAGAAATGATTTAAATAATACTGGGAAGACCAAGAAAAAATACTGTCGTGCTTTTTCACGTGTATATGCCAAATATAACAGACGAGATGGATTCACGAAAACAAAAGCTGGTAGTGAAGATTGTTCATGTATGACTGTGATGAGGAACTCGACGTCTACTTTTCGAAAGAAATGTAAGCTTAAAGTAAAGATAGTTGATGGAGCAAGTCAAGAAGAAAAACTGGACAAAAGTACTAGGATAATTACATCGAAGAGAAAGCTGCTGCTTATGTTTTGATTGCTTGTAAAATGAATTTATAAGACTTCAAAAACAATGGAGAAATCCAAAAATCAAGTTGAATGAACAAAGGCTTCTTTGAAATTTGTCAGTTGAACTTTTGTTATCTGTTATAGACAACAGAATTGGATTTGCTTTAAAAATGTAAGTAAGATCTTTTTTATTGGGGGGGATGCGAAATAAGTTGTTGACTTATCAGCTTAAGTTGAAAAAACAAAGATAAATGTTATGAAGTTGTATGTTGTCGACAGCATTTTTGTTTAAATTCCTTAAGTCAAGAGAAAAATAGAAAATTAGAATTAAATCATCAAAAAGCACAAATCTTTTTAAACCTCATTATCCTTTAATAAGGAAATATGAAAAAGATATTCACAATGTTTGACAAAATTGGAGAAAACACGGAGAAAAGGGAGAAGAAGCGCGTAAAGAGTTCGCTTGAAAAAGTCCAATAAATATTGTTCTCTTAACGTTTATTTTTCAAAAGTAATGTTTATGTTTTCGATGGCAAAAGAAAGAAAAACTGCTGCGATTGTCGCTTTGAGAAGAGTGAAAAACTTTCTGAAAAAAATATGATGACATGAGCATTTTAGATACTCTCATCTAAAATGGCTTTTCGACCAATCAGAGCGCGCGTTAGAACTCAGTTATTTTAAAAAGTATTATAGTTAACGTACTTTTTTTTAAATCAAACGCAAAAGTGCAAAGGTGCCAACAACTGATTTATTACTGTTTTACACAACTTGTATCAGATCTGCTATTGATTAGCTGTTCCAGTTTTTCATTGCTCCTTAGGCCCAGGGCAAACGTCGAACTAACCATGAGCTTACTTTAGTCGAATCTATTACATTTGAAATAGACTCATGACTAGTACGACGTTTCCTGCAATTGAGAACGACCCTATTGAATAGGTTCGAGCCCAGCATAAGTTCGACAAGCCAAGTCGGACATTACGACTCTGGAGCGACTTTGCGGCAAACGCCATTTTAAAAACGTGCCGAACTATATTCATAAATGATGCAAAATAGTAAATCAATCATGCAAGTCGCATGATTTACACCAAAGCCGTGAAAACAACCACTCCCCAACCTCCCAAACACTCATACTCCCTCCTGGCGAGCATGCGCTATACAAAGACGAGTGATGAACAAGACCGAGGAGCTCTGGATACGAAAATAAATTCAAAACTACTTAAACTGCAGAGTCCTCATTGTAAGAAACCACCAGAAGAACTGCTAATAATAGAGCTTGCAGCTGTATCTGTCTCCTAGCAATAAGTGCAGAGTGCAATAACATTATCTGTTTCCTGTTTGTAGCACTGCATTCCATAGAAATGCCCGTTATAATTGTGGTCGAGCGCTATATTTCGCCATTGAAAGGATATGCATTAATCCAGAAAAGAAAAAAAACGTCAGTGCTTTCCCCCGTGAATTTTCAGGTCCAATTAAAATTATAATAACAATGGGTGAGTGAATTAAGATCGACATTGGTTCGACGTTTATAGGTTCGGTGCGACGGTTAGTCCGACGTTTGCCCTGGGCCTTACCTAAAAATCTAGTCAATTAACTTGAAAGAATACAGAAAGGGCAACTAAATGTCAATTACTCATCCACATTTAAAGCTTTACTCCAGATCGGGAAAAATCAAATAGGGTGTAGGTGTACTTTAATTAATCGTTTAACTATGATATGCTTGGTTGAATCAGATGTCTGTGATTGCTGTATTTATTTAAATTTATAAATTTATACAAATACAGCAATATGTAGAGACTTTAACTAAAATAATGATAAATCAAGTTTTTTCTAGTATACTCGATAAGAGTATTGCTTGAAAAAATATAGGCAGA